CGGTAGCTGGAATTTTAAGTAGTTTGGAGAATCAGCAAATACCACCTCTGGCTGGCCCCAGAGTGGGGAGGGAATGGAGATTTTGCAGTATCCTTCCCCCAGGAGTGGGGAGAGAATGGGGAGTTTGATGTATTAACATAAAATATGCTTAACATATTTTTAAATTTTAAATTTTTAATTGGTTTGTCATTTTAAACTGGGGCCAAATTAATATATATTCTTTTAATTGTTCTTAATGTTTGTATTGTATGTTTTTATCTGGCTGTACACCGCCCTGAGTCCCTTGGGAGAAGGTGCGGTATATAAATTTGAAATAAAATAAAATAAAATAAAATAAAATAAAAAAATAAAATAAAATAAAATAAAATAAAATAAAATAATAAAATAAAATAAAATAAAATAAAATAATAAAATAAAATAAAATAAAATAAAATAATAAAATAAAATAAAATAAAATAAAATAATAAAATAAAATAAAATAAAATAAAATAAAATAAAATAAAATAAAATGTATCCTTCCCCTGCCATGCCCACCAAGCCACACCATGCCCAACAAGCCATGAACACAGAACCGGTAGTAAAGAAATTTGGATTTCACCACTGGATATAGGGTAGATATAGATATTGAAGGAAGGAAGGAAGGAAGGAAGGAAGGAAGGAAGGAAGGAAGGAAGGAAGAAGGATAGAGATAATCAGATTGATAGATGATAAATGGAAGATAGAGGTAGAAGATAGATAGATGATAGATAAAAGAACGTTTTTGGGCCCCGTGTCCCTGACTCTTGCATCAGGAATTTTTGGAAATGGTTAAGTCTGGGATCTGGAGTGGGAAGTACATGGGAGGCAAATTTCTATGTTTCTCACCCATAACATTGCCACCCCCAACCTCTAAATCAGGGGTCTCCAAACTTGGCAACTTTAAGATTGTGGACTTGAACTCCCAGAATTCCCTAGCCAACCATCTGGAAGTTGAAGTCCACAGTCTTAAAGTTGCCATGTTTGGAGATCCCCGCTCTAAATCCCACCACTGATTTCTTCGATGCCAAGGTGCCTGAATTCTCTTCGTGGAATGTGTGTTTGTTTGCAGGATTTCTTGAGGTTTCATATTTTTTAAGCCTCAAATAATCAGTTACATTCCTGCCAAATTTGCAATAATTTTGAGCTATATGAGGCCGTTTGCTAGTTGTTACTCCCTAGTCCAGGCCAGCTTCTTCAACACATACGATATTTTCAAGGTTTTACCTCCATCTGGTGGCAATAGTTTATATATGCTTTTTGCCTCGCTAAGCTCAGCCGCAGGAGTTTCCAAAAGAAAGTTTTGTTGTCGGGAGGCTCACGCAACCTGCTGATCTATTTATTTAACTTTAGCTTTATTTAACTCAAGGGTTTCCAATCTAGGCAAATCTAACACCTGTGGACTTCAACTCCCAGAATTCCTCAGCCAACCTTGCTGGCTGGGGAATTCTGGAAGTTGAAGTCCACAGGTCTTAAAAGTTGCCAATGTTAGACACCTCTGGTGTAACAGAAGATCCAAGATATTCACACAGCAATTACTTATCTTAAATCTACCGTGTTTCCCCAAAAATAAGACCCTGTCTTATATTTTTTCGAACCCTGAAATAACCGCAGCTCAAGGAGGTTACCTAATTAGGATAATGAAACATCTGCAAGAAAAGCAAGGTCAGAGGACCCCTCATACCTGGGGGGGGGGCGCAGCCTGGTGGCGCAGTGGACTAAGTGCTGTTAAAGTAGCACTTAAGTTGCCAGCTGCCTGTAATTACTGCAAGTTCAAATCTCATCAGGCTCAAGGTTGACTCAGCCTTCCATCCTTCCGAGGTAGGTAAAATGAGGACCCGGATTGTGTGGGCAATAAGCTGACTTTGTATAAAAAAGAACACCGTTTAGGGGGGGCCAAAAACCCTACTAAGCAGGTATATACAAAAGTATGAAGGCTATTGCTTAACACACTGTAAGCCGCCCTGAGTCTCTGGAAAAGGGCGGCATATAAATCGAACCAATAAATAAATAAATAAAATAATATTCTATTCTATTCTACCCTACCCTACCCTATGCTAGCCTCTACCTCTACCCTCTACCCTATGCTAATACCAAATATCTGTATCATTAAAGGGAGAGGTTCACAACAGAACTTCGCTTGTATTAATATGACTGGACCAAGTTCAATTGGCCAAATGGTCATGTAGACAAATTGCGAGCATGCTTCCTTGTGTTCGTCCCTCGGTCACTCAGCTGAAATGGTTTCATAAGACCCTTCCATGTTGATTGGCTCAACTTTGCTTTGACTATGAGCAAGGGAAGTCAGACACCCCTGCCTCTTTCCTGCCACCCCACCCCCCAATTTTAAGGTGTGTATATGTGTGCAGATCAAAAAGAAAACTTTTTGTTCTGAACTTCACAGCTTAATCTAGGAAACAAAGATTGCTAGCTCCGGCCATCTCTGTTCTGAAAAAAAAAAAAAAACCCTAATGTTATCTTGTTCCCACGTAGAGAAAAAAAAAATGCTGCACATTTGTTTATCTTTCACATGAGATTTGGAAAACGTACTTGGCAATTGCTGAAATTGCCTTCTAGCATTGTGGCAACCAAAATTATCTTGCCTATATAGCAGGACGGTTCAACGTTGCTAACTCTGAAGTCCCCAGGTCTTAAAGCTAGCAGGATTGGACATCCCTGGCCTATATAGCCTTTTCAAAGTAAAGAAAACTAGCAGATATGTTGGCCTTTTTGTTTTGTCTTGTGCTCCTTTCAGTGGGGAGACAGAATAAAAAAAAATAATAATGATAAAAATCAGGCCCTTATTCACATCCTGTATGTGATTCCCAGAGGGACGCAGTGGCTCAGTGGCTAAGACGCTGAGCTTGTCGATCAAAAGGTCGGCAGTTCAGTGGTTCGAATCCTTAGTGCCGCGTAACGGGGTGAGCTCCCATTACTTGTGCAAAAGCACACACTCAGGATGACTTAACACAAATTAAAGGTAAAGGTTCCCCTCACACATATGTGCTAGTTGTTTCCGACACTAGGGGGCGATGCTCATCTCCGTCTAAAAGCCAAAGAACAAAGCGCTGTCTGAAGACGTCTCCGTGGTCATGTGGCTGGCATGACTCAATGCCAAAGGCGCACGGAATGCTGTTCCCTTCCCACCAAAGGTGGTCCCTATTTTTCTACTTGCATTTTTTAACGTGCTTTCGAACTGCTAGGTTGGCAGAAACTGGGACAAGTCACGGGAGCTCACCCCTGTTACGTGGCAGTAGGGATTCGAACCACTGAACTGCCGACCTTTTGATCGACAAGCTCAGCATCTTAGCCACTGAGCCACCGCGTCCCTATACAAATTACACAAATATAAACACAAATTACCACTTTGTAAATTTAAAGCACCAATGGACCGTGATCAAGTTTTCATAAATAACAAAGTCAGCCCAACCCTGCTGTGAATAGACTCTGCTGGCAATTCACCCCTTAATGACTTTTATTTCATGGATCATTAAAGATTGGCTCCTGTATTCCCACCGTTAGCTGGGGTTCTTAATTAACAAAGTCAATAGCTGTTGCATAGTCCAAAAATCTCATACTGTATATAGACATTTTCTTTACGTGAGCACATTGTGAAATGAGCTTCTTTGCAAAAAATATATTTTGTTTAGTGAAGGATGAGTAAACAAAACAGCTGGTAGACACATCTGCAGTATAAACAGACTGGTGAATACCTCTTATCATTTTTTTTAAGCAGAGGATTTCTTGGGAAACTGGAAGACCTGTTGAGTCTTGCACTAAAACGGCAGAAACAGGCAAGAAAAGAAAAAAATTGTGCAGTCCTAATTTCTTAGTTCTCCAGATTTTTGGATATCGATGCTCCCAGGTTTAACTGCAGGCATCTATACGAATTTGATTTTTTTTTGCATACGAATTACCATCTCTGACATGCTATGAAGACGTAAGTTCCCAGCTTACCAAAAGATGGTTTCATTTACAAGGAAACTCCTGTAAAAATCATAGGTATCCTTCAAGAAGAGCGCATTGTAAAATTTTGTATTATGTGCAACTCTGCACCTTATATTTTTTTACTCTCTTTCTTGTTGAAGTCCACCGATATCCATTTCCAGGTTGCGTAAAAAATAAGCTTTGATTTCAGAACTCTCGATATCATATAATGAATGATAAGTGGCACATTACAATCAAGTGAGATCATTATGGCCACACACGCACAGACAAGGATTATCTTACAGGGCTTCCAAAAGGGACAATTTTTCTGCAAACCCTATGTTTGTTTCAGGTGAGTCACAGAACACCACGTTTTTATTACCCTATTAAAAAAAAACTGGGAATGAAATGTCTGCTGTTGTTTTGTTTCTAAAATCAAGGAAAAGCACAGAACATAATAAGAGCTAGTGTACGGAATCAGATCAAAGTTTCCCTTGGTACACCTGCTATTTGAACCTAGCAGTTTGCTAACAAAGTCATCTCAAATGGTAATCTGTTAGGAGACAAGATGCACCAGATCTCCTGAACCAGTTCTTCAGAGGTTCGACTACATGGGTTTAGGCCATTTCGCCACGGCCAACTCGCCACGGAACAATTCGCCATTCACCGCAGGACAAAAGTTACATAATACCAAAGAAACAATGGGACAGAATCATTAAAGAAAGCAGCAGGAGGGACAAAATGAAATGGTGGATGACAAAAATTAAAATGTATTTTTTTAAAAAAATATATTTTCAATCATTATATAAAATTGTTGAATTGTCCCGTGGCATGATGTCCCATTCCATTCTTACTGAGCACAACTCAAAGTTGCTCGCATTCATTTGGCAGTTTAATAAGGAGTTACTCAGCAACTGGAATCCAAAGTATAAGAAATTAAATCCATTTATCCTGCCAATTTACTCCAGAGGTGTGAATTTACTTTCAGTAGAATTTAGAGCTGCTTTCCGATCACTTCTCAAAACAAACTTGCAAATGATTTAAAGCCAACTCGTTAATAAATACTTTTTGTTTTTCATTCAAAAATATGCAATACAAATTTGTAAAACAAACGGGGGAAGAAAAGGAACAAAATGTTAACTTAAGTGAACAAAGAGGGCATCTCAAATCCTCTGAATATTCACATTTTTTTTTTATACAAAAGGGTTAAGTTTTGACTATTCACAGATGGCCAGACTTCAACTCAAGAGGCATCTCTTTACATTAACAATCCAAACTGCAAAACTGAAAAGTTTTGAGGGGGAGCTTTAGTTCATCAGCTTAAATCAAGGACCAGTGCAGACAGAGCATTCATGTCTCTCATGTGGGGGTGCTGCGCCAGGATTTCCTCAATCTTCTCCCTCTGCTCTGAAGTTGGGAATATTTTTTTCAAGGCTTCTTTTAAATGGGTCGTTTCAGTGGCCGATCTTGGAGACGGGGGAAGGCCGGAGTTTACCAGAGACGTCGTAGGGAACCGAGGCAAGTTAGGGACGAGACCAGAAACGGGGTTTGGGAGCAACTGTCCACTCCCTTCTGACTGCATCAGGAAAGGGGATATTCCCAAAGGAAGATGGCTTCCGCTGTATGGGGTTGGCGTAGCTCTGGAGAAGAAAAGAACAGCATTCAGTATGAGAGGCTTTGATTGGTAAACAAGCAAGCAACCTTGTCCATCTAAGATGGCCTACCATCGGTCATCACAAAGACAGCCAATATTTAATAATAGCAACAGCACTTAGACTTATATGCCGCTTTACAGTGCTTTACAGCTCTCTTTAAGCCGTTTACAGAGTCAGCCTCTTGCCCCCAACAATCTGGGTACTCATTTTACCCACCTCGGAAGGATGGGAGGCTGAGTCAACCTTGAGCCTGGTGAGATTCAAACTGCCAAATTGCAGACAGCCGGCAGGCAGCAGAAGTAGCCTGCAGCACTGCATTCTTAACCACTGCTCCACCGCGGCTCATAATCTTACTGGTTTGGTGTCTTGGAATCAATGTTGACTCCTGGCAACTGCCTGGATAGGTCCTTGCGGTTTTCTTGGCAAGATATCAGAAGTGGTTTCCAACTGCCACCTTCTCAGGGCTGACGGAGAGTGACTGCTCCAAGATTACCAAGCTGGCTTTGAGCCTCAGAAAGGACTAGACCTCACACTCTCCAGGTTTCTAGGCTGATAGCTTAAGCACTGCACTTAATTAGCTCTTAATATTGCTTTTACCGTAGCCTTAACAAACCTGACATCTACCAGTTAAAATTACATTCATTTGTACTTTGTCAGAGTAACAGAAAAATAAGAGTTGGAAGGGACCTTGGAGGTCTTCTAGTCCAACCTAGCAAGAGACCCTATCATTTGATATAAGCAGCCATGAGAACTTTTAAAAAAGAATTGTTAGATCTTCGTGACTTGGTACAATTTGTTTTACAACTTAAATGTCAACCTTTGACATAACTGCCTCCCAGATCCATCTGTTGCGTGCTCCATGACACTGGGGGTTATGTCATATTTACAAGGAATCTACCATGTTTCTAAACGCAAGAGGACTTGTTACCAAGATTAAACTTGGCTTATCTTAACTGTCTCTGTGTGTGATGCAAATATACCCACACCTTGTACGTTCAGTTATGGCAACAAAAGATAAAACAAATCTGACAGAAGAGCCACTCCTACTTGTGCTAAGCCTGTCACGTCTTTTTCTTTATCTCGTGATCGTTTCAGTTCTCTGCAGAACTTTTTTTTTTTAATTTCCATTTCCTCTTTTGACAAGAGAAGAAGAAGAAAAAAAAGAGCTATGAACCCCCCCCCCACCAGAAACCATCTACCTGAAACTAGCTGACTCCTGAAGAAAACGGTTTAATCCAGGTCCATTTCGTCCCAGGGGGTCATCAGGCACCATGAAAATGTCTCCAGCGAAAGTGTATTGCAGAAGCCTAATGCAGCAGCAAAAGAGAGGAAGGGTTGCAATAAGAAAAAGAAAAGAAAAGGGTTCCTCTGTCCAGTTGTGTCCGACTCTAGGGGGAGTACTCATCTCTGTTTCTTAGCTGGGAGTGTCAGTGTTGACCAAAGACACTTTGATGGCCATGTGTCTGGTATGATTATATGCCGAGGCACACAAAACGCTGTTACCTTCCTATCGGAGTGGTACCTATTTATCTATTTGCATTTGGATGCTTTTGAACTGCTAGCTGAGGCAAGTAACAAGAGCTCATCCCATCTCGCACACTCTGGTCTCGAACTTGGGCTGCCAGCTGACAAGCTCAGCATCTCTGACCACTGAGCCATATTACATATGGTGGATAATAAAGCAGCTACTACAATATTATAGAGAGATATTTATAATGTGTTTGTGTATGTACATGCGCTCTTGCTCTCTCTCTCTCTCTCTCTCTCTCTCTCTCTCTCTCACACACACACACACACACACACACACAAGCAAGGTGATCAAAAAGGCATAGGTACCTCCTTTGAATAATCTCCCTCCAGGGTGGGGATTCGTCTACAAATTCTCTGAAGTTATCATTGGTAACAATAACACCTCCAGTTTTTTCAGCAAGGTGCAGCAGAAATCTACAACACATTTGGGAGAATCTGTACCCAGGCGCTGAATAAATTCTTTTTTTAAAGAAATAATTTATTGAAACATTTAAAGGAGCAGAATAAAGAGCTACATAAAAAAAAAAAATGGTAGGGATATAGTAGTCAAGAATGAAAATTCAGATTTTATAATTGTAATATCTTTTTTTTTACTCTGTTTATAACAAAGAATTTAAAATTATTGTAACATTTAATCCATTTATTAAATTTGTATAACAACTCTGTTCATTATTTTTTTCTATTTTTTAATCTTTCCTTTTTCCTTTGTGTGATTACATACTTCTAATTTTTGGAACAATGATAAATAGTGGTGATACCAATATTAATTCATGTTTAGAGATTCACAGAGATTCCTAGCTATTTCATACAATAACATAATGCTGCACTCAATCAACTCTGATGAAGGCCTGATTAACGTGCAACTTCTGGACAAAAGTTGGCTGTATCTTATCATCAAACTAGTGATTTATTGCCACCATTGACCTGCAAAGGTCAAAGGAATAATTAGGATGCTCTACCCTAGGCATTCAAATGGGATCTACTTGGTTTACAACTGGCACTTTCTTTAACACAGCTCAGCCAGAACTCTAACCGAGCTTTGGAATATAGAGATTTTGGGAATGCTTGTGGAAATATTGGATGACGTTGCCTCCCAGTGGTCTGTCTCGGTATACTGATTCCAGCATTCTCTTTGGTTTACTGAGGAGTTAACATGGTTAAGAGCCCTGAGTTTAGGTATGGCGGATGAGAGTGACAAAGACACCAGACTCTGAATATTGTCAGCAGTGATGTTCATGATGACTCCCTTCCTTTTAGAGAAAAATGGGATGGTTTCTTAGCAGACCACCATCAGCAGGAAAAACAGTTGGAGAAAACAAGCCCCTACATCTTTTAAGAAAATCATCAGTTTTGATGATGCCGTAACAGGATATTGAGTTTATACAAATAATTACGAATTATTTTTTTTAAGCAATTAGGGTTTTAAATGCAGCTTCTACCTTACTGGTATCTTCACAGATCACACCATCCCATTTTAGCAGTTTTTGGGATAATTTTTAATTCTTAAAAAACTTTTTTTTAAAAAGAGAAGGGGGTGGGGTGAGGGAGGTTTAGTTTGAAAACATCCTCGGAACCAATACTGTGTTTCCCCGAAAATAAGACCCCACCTGGAAAATAAGCCCTAATGTGTCTTTTGGAGGAAAAATTAATATAAGACCAGGTCTTATTTTAGGAGAAACACGGGTATAGCTGAAGAGAGGTTTATGAAAACATTAATGGGAAAAAAACCCCCTATTTTTTTAAAAATAATAAATTTAAATAGTAAATTCATTTATTGCATGTTCATCATCTGACAAGAAACACATTAAAATATCTAACTTTCCCTAGGGCAGTGATGGCTAACCTTTTCGGCACTGAGTGCCGAAAGCATGCATGTGTGCGTGCACACACCCATAATACAATGCGTGCGTGACCCCCGCTGCCCTGCAGGTGCCCAGCCCCCCACATGCCTTCCATCCCCCCCGCATGTGCACTCGCCCCCCCGCATGTCCCCTGCCCCCCGTGCATGCATGTGTGACCTCCCGCGCATGAACGTGCGTCTCCCACATGCACCTCACCCCCCGCACATGCACGTCAGAGACCCAAAAACTGGGTGGGAGGCGCATGCACATGCATGGCGGAGCTGAGCTGGAGCAACGACTTGCATGCCCGCAGAGAGGGCTCCGCGTGCCACCTGTGGCAGGCGTGCCCTAAGTTCGCCATCACGGCCTTAGGGACACCTTCCTAGAGGACAAGTCAGCTGAGTAGCTTCTCTTTCAAACCACCCAGAGACACAGAAGTGGAAATCGGGAACAAACCCTCTTTACCTGTCATCGTGAGAGGCAATTCTAGCCCCACATACAACTCTTGCTGGAGTAAGTGCCAAAATGCCAACATCTTGGAGCTGGGATAAGAAATGCTGCTCTATGAAAAGAAAAGAAAAAAAGAAGGGAAAGAAAAGAAAGAGAATGAAATGGATACACAGGCAATCCTCGACGTACGACAGTTCGTTTAGCGACCGTTCAAAGTTACGACGGCACTGAAAAAAAGTGACTTATGACCCTTTTTCAAACCTACGACTGTTGAAGCATCTCCTGGGAACGTGTGATCAAAATTCAGACGCTTGGCAACTGATTCATATTTATGACAGTCACCTGATCTCCTTTTGGGACCGTCCTGACAGGCAAAGTCAATGGGGAACCCGGATTCACTTAACCACCGTGTTACTGACTTAACAACTGCAGTGATTCACTTAAGAAATGTGGCAAGAAAGGTCGTAAAACAGAGCAAAACTCTCGTAACAAATGTCTCAGTTAGCAATGGAAATTTTGGGCTCAATTTTAGGTTGCAAGTCGAGGACTACCCTTTATTTTATTTCGGTAGGAAGGTACCAAATAAGCCACAATGCACAATGACTACTTTAAGTTCAACGAGCCATCAAAGCACTTCCGGCACTGCAGTCGTTAACAAAAAGCCAGTAACAGATATGGAGATTTAAGGGTTGACAGACGGTTTTTAGATGCGTTCTGTAGTCACAAAGCTTCTCTTCTTTTTAATTTATTAGCTAAGCTTGGGACTTATTGGAAAAATGACAGTTGAAATTTGGATAAGCGGAAGGTATGACGTTGGAGGCGTCTGTCTTAAATCCACAGGTCCGAGATATAGTTGTTTTTATTCCTTACCTGTGATATTAGAATCTTTCCGTGTTCGCCACTGTGGGACAAAAACTGTAATCTTCCTGTGACCACGTTTCCAAAAGTAATCGACAGCAATTGCGATTCCTCGACAGGAAAAGAATTTTTGCAGACCGTGGCTATTGGAAGAGAGAAAAAACGGTATTATCTCTCGATTTTCATAATCTTCTATTTATCATAATTGACTATCAAATTCTTCAATGAGGGGTAAAAGTTACACTCTCTTATTATTATGCCTTGCTAAACCGAAACCAGACCAAACCCTATCCATTCCCTCATTCACTTGAAACACTGGCTAGTATGAAGACATGACATTCACTAATGAGTATTTTTTTCCCTTTCAACCCTGCAATCCCTTGCTTTGGGCTGGGGTCGGGGCGACTTGATTGAAGCTGAGCATTTACTGGCCGGATGCCCTTCCTGACGCCTATGTGGAGCTCACAGCAATTACTCACTGCAGCCAGAGAGAGAAATATCTGCTCAAACCTAGGGTTGAACTCACAGCCTCCTGACTGTGAGGAGAGCTCTCCTCTAGGCCACCACACCATTCTTACTATGAAATAAATAAACTTTTTAAAAGGCAGAGATAATTCCTCTTTGATCAGAGATTATACTTGGAAAATTGACTTTAGTGAAAGAAGAAAAGTGGTTTCCCTGACAGTGGCATCCACATAGAAGCTGTGATTATGCCAAAAGCATTCCGCTCACATGACGGCATCATTCAGATACTGCAATTAGACATACCTGTGCCAGAATATCTCACACAAATATGTCAGGTATGGCATTTAGTGCGATGCTGTCAGAATGTATTGCTCAGTCGCTTGTAACAGTGAGAGGCGTGTCATATCAATTTAATAAATAAATGCACTTTCTTCCCCCATCACTGTTCTCATAATGGTTCATCAATGGAGGTTTTTAAGAAGAAATTGGACAGCCACTTGTCTCAAATTGTATAGGATCTCCTGCTTGAACAGGGGTTTGGACTAGAACTCCAAGATTCCTTCCAGCTCTGTTTTGATTGATTGAAAATGTACATCTTCACTCCCTTGTCCCCACCGAATGCCCAGGTGTGAGGCAAAAACTACACAATTAATAATATAATTTGAACTTTGGAGGTTATCACTAAAGTTTTATATATATATATATTTCCCTGTGTCTTGCAACAGAAGAGGGTGTGCAAGCTTAGAAACTGGAAAGACTGAGATAAAAACCAGAATCATGACTATGCTTTAGATTTCCTTCCTTGTATGGAAGACTTCCTTCAAAAAATTTTGTTACATCATTATGTATCCACACCTTCTCTCTACCTTTTTTATTCTGATATTCTCCAGAATAAAAAAAAAACTGAACAAGAAGCAGCTTGCCCAAGGCCAAGCCAAGAAACAACCAAGATGTAAGTGATCTAAAATGGGTTCTAGGTTCAAATTTGGGATTGATGTCAAGCCACTGTGGTGTAGGGATTGTGGTGAGAACCAGGACAAGACAGGGAAGATGAGTGGTATAAAAATTCAATAAAAAAATAATAAAAATGTCTTGAGTCCCGTGCATTCAACTACAGATGGAGAAACTAGATTCAGACTTAGGACCACATGATTTGTTTTGCTGGTCAGTGACCAAAGTAAACATCACAGTACCTCCCTTTTAAAATTTATAATAGTAATTCTCAACCTCAGCAACTTTAAAATGTGTGGATTTCAACTCCCATATTTCCTCAGCAAGCTATGAGTTGAAGTCCACATATCTTAAAATTGCTACGGTTGAGAATGAGTGATTTATGCCATAGTCCAGTGAGAGAGTTTAGGCTGCAAGTGGAAAATTGGTCCATGATATTACACTAGAATACTCTGGGGGTTTGTTCATGTGGCCATAAATCCAAATCTAGCTTAATCAAAGGAATTTGCAAAGTGCAATCCCATGATTGTGGGATGCTTCAACCGGTTGTAAGTAAGTTGGGAGTCGGGAGGCCGATCCAACCGGCAATCAACTGCTTGTGCTAATCAGGCTGTGCTGAAGCTGAAACGGGCTGATTGCTGTAAGGAGGTAAAATTGCTGGGAGCCAGAGGGCAAAGGGTGGGGGGGGGGGCTATATTCGGTGTATAAGACTCACCCAAATTTTCACCCTTTGGGGTGGTGGGGAGTGCGTTTTATACTCGGAAAAATAGGGTAAATTTGGAATTTCAATAGGTACCTCAGTGTATGCATTTGTGTGCATGTGTAAACACACTTATGTGTAACACGTAAAATATATAAAACAAGGAATTGAAAATTGCAAAGTAAAGTCCCGGGGGGGGGGGGGGAAAGCCACAATGTATTTCCATTGATTTATGTATCAAACAATGAGAACTAAGCTGACCTTTCTGATACTGTTGCAAAAGACCAAAAAAACCCTTTAAAGAGCATACTTCCTCTAAGGAGATCACAATTAAATGGGAGGCATGGCGTGACACAGCTTTGATACTGGATTGGTTCCTTCTCCTCAAGTCTCAACCTGGGAGAATCCACCTCGAATTTAACATGAACCATAAATGCTACTGTTAAGTATTTTACGAGCTTTGGGTCAAGCAAGAGAAAGGGGAATGACAGTCCGGTTGGGCGTACTATTTTTTAAGCAGGCAAAGCAGTTCTGCAAAATATTCTCTCCGCTCTCCCCCCCCCCCCTCTCTTTTTAAAACCTGGCAAGTAATCTGGGATGTTAAAAAAAAAAACAGAAACCCTGAGTTTGGCATGGCCATCAATCTTATGTCACCGAATTAAAGAACCCTGCCTTACAACAGCAATAGAAGTCCTGTTTGCATTTCAGTTTTATTAACTCAGCTCCAATCTCCCTCTAAGCACGTATCTTAAGCCAGTGATGGCAAAGCTTTTCGGCACCAAATGCTGAAAAGGGAATGCAAGCGCACATGGCACCAAATGCCGAAAAGGGAGCGCTATGCACGCACGCTCGTCAGGGCCACGACCAAGAAAAGGAGCTGCCCAGGGGCCATGCGAGCGCCGGATAAGGTACTTCCGGTTTCCGGCGTGTGCAATGCGTGCTGGCCAGCAAGTCTTCCGGTCACTGCTGCACATGCGCACGTGCTGATCAGCTGCTCAGCACGCATGCTCATGCCGGAAAACAGAAGATCAGCTCTTCCGATTTCCGGCACAGCTGCATGCACAAAGGCCAGCTGATTGTTGCATGCGCATGCATGCCAGAAGCCCGAAAGAGGAATAGGCAACGCCGTGCGTGCCAGGCAACATGGCTCCGCGTGGCACTGGGCACACGTGCCATAGGTTCACCATCACGGTCTTAAGCTTTGAGAATGACACATACGCAGCTTCAAGCTACACTGAACTGATTGCATTAACTCTAGATGCTGGGTTGAATTTTGCAAGATAGGAAAAATTCTAGGCCAAGGACCACAAGAGACGGGGGCCATTCCTTGAAGTTTTAGTTTTCTTAGTAACAGGGGGACAGAATTATATGAGCCCACTCACCAATACATTTTCTCTCTTTTTCCAATATTTCATCCCATTATTTTAAGCCATAAGCAATTGAGGCTAAGATTGCAACTTAACAAGGTTTTTTTTAAAAAAAAATCCGGCTGCCAACATTTAGTTTTCTAAGCGACCTTGAAACTTTCAACAATCTCCAGAGGAAACTTTAAAACAACATTTCCATCTGCCAGTTAAGGGATGTGCTTTCTCACACAAACCTCCTCCCGGAGTAAGGATCAAAGACACACCGAATCCAAGAGCAACATTTCCTGATATCACAAGAGTCACATGCAACAAAGGACCCACAACCTTGATTGTGACATACACAATTCTCAAAGTGTGGAAACCTTTGGGAAATTCATTTAGCAATAAGTGGGGCCGTTGTTCTGTTCTTTAAAAAAGAAGAAGAACCTGTAGAAGATACCTCCAGATTCAGTGATGGAGGAAAAACAACTTTAGAAAAAGGTTTATGAACAGAGACGGGAACGCGTGCTAAATTTGGTTTCCATTGACTGATTTTCCCTCCTTCGACGGGATTCCAAACATATAAAGGCAGCTTAATGGCAACAGCAGCATTTTCGAACAGGAAGTGTGGATAGGATTCACTGTACACATGCACATTAGTGCACACACACACACAGTCTTTGTGTTCTAACTTCTTTCCCAGCTATCCGAATCTTGTTTTGCACATTCCTCGTGTACCACAAAGTCCCACCTCCCACGCTATTGTTTTTAGAGGTGAGGTGAGGTGAAGTCAGCCTCTAGGGCAGAGATCTCCAACCTTGGCCATAACCAGCTTTGCTGGCTGAGGAACTTTGGGAGTTGAAGTCCACAAGTCTTAAAGTGGCCAGGGTTGGAGACCCCTGCTCTAAGGTTTTCAAGGCATCTTCGTTTGAGGTGCAGTTGATGTCTAGCACCTTATCTATGTAATACTGAAACACTTTTTCCTGTTCATCCTTCACTGGGCAAAACGGTGCGCCACAGGGCAAAACCTTTTGAACCAAGGCATTTCTTAATTTACAGAATTCACCCAGAAAACGGGGGACCCGTGACTTTTGTGGAATTAAAAGTTTGGCAAATTTTATAAAGCATTTTTAGGACAGAAAACATTATCAATAGAACAGTTTAGGACAAAATATGAAGTGTCCTAAAACATTTCCTGTGCTGATGTTTGACCGTGCCGTACAGTTCAACAGGGGATAATTTCGAACCAGAGACATCTCCGAATTATATCTTGGCTGTTCCAATGAAGGCGGTACATTAGAAGCTCTGTCACTGTTTTAGGCACTCAGGAATCTGGTAAGGAAATCTTTCTGGAAGGATCACCTGAGAGGCCACGGGTTTTCTAGTCTGGCCTATCTCAGGGTCTCACAATTTTCAAGTTTTATTTTTAGAATTGCAATTTCATCTAAAGCTGTGGCGGTAATCCCTGTAAGCACTGCAGGCTAACTCACTGCTCACGCCGGGAATTCGATTCTGACTTGACTCAGCCTTCCATCCTTCCAAGGTCGGTAAAATGAGGACCCAGATTGTTTAGGGCAAGAAGCTAACATTTGTAAACCGCTTAGAGAGGGCTGTAGAGCACCGTGAAGCAGTAGATAAGTCTAAGGGCTATTGCTAAAGGAAAAATAAAACAAATCCTCAAATGTTACCTTCTGCAAATACAGCTAAAACAAATAACGTTACCTAACAGCGCAAATATGTTTCTGTGTAACTTCAGTTTATATCAACTGTCAGTGGATGGAATCCAAACAACAGTTACCACAGGGCAAGGTACTCTCCCATGCTAATTTAAACATATATCATGGGGATTATCCAAGAGGCAAGTAGGGGAAGGAAGTAGCAGAGGATGTAAATACAAGCAAGAAAGCAGGGGCCAGTTGCAGCCTAAGGGACTATTATGCGTTCTTAAGGTGATGCAGAGGCCAACAGACCTATAAACTTAATGGGAAATTCCACCTATGGCACGAGTGCATAAAAGGGCCTTTCCATTATATTTTTAATTCATTTATGGTGTTCCTCGGAACCACGGCTGAACTATGGGAAGTTGCTTTGGGTTTTAGAGCTAAAAAATCACAATCAAGTTTAGGAAACAAACAGTTTTTTTCTCTTTTATATAATAAAATTGCTCAACTTGCTGAAGGAAATCCAGAAAGGCTGCACTTTCAAACCCAAGATAAAAATAGAAACTCATCTCAGTTATTCCCCCACCCCAAGAAAAACTCTTTTATCATTCTCGACTTCTTTCCTGCCCCTTCCTTCCCCATCCTTCTTCACTCTACGTGCTTCTAGAAATCTAAGGATCATCCATACTCACGAAATTGCAACATTGCTGCCATCGATGACTACGTATTTTAAGTGGGGTCTCCCCGGCTCGTTTTTCAGTTCCAGCTTGTACGGTGTTTTCAACGCCTCTAGAAACCGCTGAACCCCGGTGACCGAAGGATCTGCAGGATGACAGTAAAGTCCCCCCGTTTTCTTTTCTGGATAAGAACCTCTTAATTGCAGAGGAGGGGTGGGGTCTGCAAAGTGCTTTGGCTTTTGGGAAGGGAACTGCTGGGCTCCGAGTTGTACAGGATTGCAGTTTTCCTGTTGGTCGCCTGTTGCAGGCGATTGGGTGGAACATCCTCGAAGGACCAGGGTTTCATTCTGAACGGGTGGGTGTGCGCTCTCCCAGGCACCCCTGCCTACCAAGATCGGATCTTTGGCTTTCTTATTTTTGGTTGCCATGGGCGCATTACTAGAAGCGTTCACGAAACCATCGCTTTCCACCTCGCTCGCCTTGCTGCCCTGTTCTGTACAGCCTGATCGTATTTTGCTGAGCTCTTGACTCGATGAGTTTTTGTTACCCAAAAGAACGGTCCGGTTTTCAGGATCCGATCCGTGGATTTTGTCTTTGCGGGGTGCTTGAGAAACAGAGGCGAGGTTTGCATTTCGGGGTGGCTCTGATTGACAGCCTAGATCGGGGTGGACCCTGATGCCGGAACTGCCTTTATTCTTCTTCGCTTGCGTTTCAGTATTCTGGGAGATAGTTCTGGACTTCTCTTCCTCTTCCGTAGCCATCTTGCTCTTTTTCTCAATTTCTTCTAGGAGGAGTAGGGGCTCAGCCAACTGTCCATGTTCAAAAATCACCATTTCTACAATTTCCTCAGAGTAGCCCATGCTTTTGAAAAAATTGACCAGGATCTTGTATTCCATCTCCTCGCTTATTTCATCGCCGTTTTTAGTATCAAGTAACTCATTTGTATCCGAGACCAAATCTATCACCACTATGTCATCACGTCTTTTGCAGGACATCTGCTTACATTCTTGGTTGTTTTCGAAAGAAAACTGTTTCTTTGGAAGCCTCTCGTCGCCATCCGAGGATCTTCGTTTACACGATTGCCTTTCTTTTGAGGCAGATGCCTCCAGAGAAGTTAGGCCATTTATGGGTAGAAAATGCCCTTCAGATGTATCGGGAAAAACGGTGTCCATTTGCTTGGCTAATTCAGAGACCGGTGTACCTGCATTGTTCCTTGCTTCCTCCTGACCTGTTCTGCCATCGTTGCTTACTACAGGTAGTTTCGGCATCTGAATTGGGAGTTTTAGTGTCTCATCAGAAGGGCCAGGATCTGAAGTTCTGCCTTCCGTTTTGCCGCCTTCGTGCTGTGTGAGGCTCAGCAGCTCTTTCTTTAGCGAGCTTGGTAGGATCAACAAGTCCATCGTGTATTTATCTGCATGAGCTTCGACAAGGTGTTTGAACTGTTTCTTCACTTCCGACTCCTTGACCGTCAACTCGTTGAGGTTGCTTTTGAAGAGGTTCACAAACTGCTGGATGTGACTCCTGGCCATGACCACGGGCTCTGTCCGGCCTTTAATACCGAGTGTCCCAATCTCCACTACGCTAATATCAGCGGAGGTGCCTTGAATAAGGCAATTCAGGAAGAGGTTTTGTGCTCCTACAAAAATACAGTGCATGTCTTTGGGATAATATTCCCTCTCTTCCAATTCGGGTTCACAGATTCCTTTAATATATTCCTGCAAAAAGGGGGGGAGGGGTAAAGGTGGGGGGAGAGAAAGCATAAATTAAGGCAATTGGTGATAGTTCAGCTTCTGAAATTTGTGCCTTATTAAAGCTACGACTCTAAATTCTGTCAACAGGATGACTTGCTGTTTTTATTGCTCTTCCTCCTGGAGGAACTGAGAGCAGATTGCAAGCAAACAGTACCAGTGAAAACAATCTTAATAAGACGATCATCATAAGATGATCATCCTTTGTTTTTTTACAAAATGGATGGGGGAGAGAAGAGAAGAATCCTTAAATTAGGCTGTTGCAGGGTGGATTTGATTTAAATCGACTTGATTTAAATCATAATTTTTAAAGAGCAACTGTCATCTCTGTCCCGCAACGGCTCTGCCTCTGACCCGCTGTTAACTCACTGAGTCCCACTATTGCAGAATATACAACCTCATGCTATATCACTAAGCTCCATTTCATGCTGAATAAACTAAATTATGAATGATCTTAAATAGAAAACTATCTTTAGATAGATTTTTTTTACTCCAAAAGCATTTTATTAAAATAAATTTGATAAAAATAAAAGATCTAAATTTTTTAATTTTTTTTTTTTTAAATCATCGATTTTTATCCACCCTGGGCTGTTGTCAACTGTGAACCTCTAGGAGAAATCTAAGGAGAAAGACTTCTGCCCAATGAGTCAATCAGATCTCGTATGAAAGTGTCTTATTGCACCTTGAAGTATAATTTGCCCCTTTGTCTTGTTTGTGTTGCTATGTGCTAACCTTGTGCTTCAATTCTTATGAACATAAAAAAGCTTTCCAGATCTAATTGCCTAACATTTATACTTGAGTGCTGAGAAAAATAGGAAGAAACGTAGTATCATGATAATTGAATTGTACCCCAAAGAGATCTTTTTACAGTAGCTGCAAGTACATGAAGGCAAACAACTCATTCAGGAGAATGCCAGAGAAAATAATTAGCCATGCCTTCATTTTCCAGAAGGGCTACCGGAGGAGGCCTACACGTATCATGAGAACATACACGGATTATCTGTAGCTTCCCTGCTGTCAATTGACTCTTTTCACAAGGTTGCATTTTGCTAAACCAAAGATGTCTGTAAAGGAATATTGCGCAGAAAAGTAGATGACCTCAAACAAACTGTCTTCAGAGATCCGTATTAGTTTAGAAATCTATGTTAATCCCATTTTCATTTATGGAACCTCTCTTAACAAGTCTGCATTCAGGATATGGGAGAGAATAATTCAAGATTTCAGTTACCAATGACCCTGGCTCACCAGCTCATTAGTTTCATTTCAAGATTACCTTTCTATTTTTAGAACCCTGGAATGATGAATTTCATGAGAAATGAATGACTTCACCAAGGCATTTCCATTCAGAAATATCACTTGGATGCAATTGTTAGCACATCTTCATCACCTAATAGAATTATCTACAATACCCTTCCTTACTATAACTTGCATTATTCCTCTTCTTGAAAACCTCCAGTGATGGAGCACCCACATCTTCTGGAGGCAAGTTGTTCCACTGATTAATTGTTCTCACTGTCAGGAAATTTCTCCTTATTTCTAAGCTGGTTTCCTCCTTGATTAGTTTCCATCCATTGCTTCTTGTCCTGACCTCAGGTGCTTTGGAGAATAGGTTGACCTCCTCTTCTTTGTGGCAGCCTCTCAAATATTGGAACACTATCAAGTCATCCCTAGTCCATCTTTTCATTGAACTAGACATATCCAATTCCTGCAACCCTTCTTTGTATGTTTTAGCTTTCAATCCCCTAATTATCTCTGAAACATCCATTTGAAAAAGAGGATGCTCACTTATTGTTGTTTATTATTCCAGGTTTCTTTTTCACCTTTAAGCACAATTGCAACCATGGGAAAATCTCTTCACAGTCCAAAGAACTCACTGCTGCAACTCTAAATAAAGTGCCTCTTTGGGTTTGCTTCCCTCTTGCTTAGGAAGCATTGCCCAATCCTAACCCAAGCCAAAATTCCAAAAATACTCTATGACTATCTGATTTTTACTCTTGTACAGTCCAAACCATTTCCTATGAAACAGCAAAGAAGGACTTGAGTTTTCACATGAGAACAATCTGCTTCCGCTAATAGTAGTTCCTGCCTATGACCCACACACCCATCCTATAACATTTTAACACAGCTGATCGTATCCCAGATTTTACTAGTAAAAGAACATGGAGATAGAGGAAATGGAAAGGAAAATGTGTACAAACAGCAGAAGCAGCTATAGTGGCCTTCAGATTCTGAAAAATGGGCTATTCTACTGGCTTCGGAAGTAGCGACAGTTCTCACATCTCTATCACGCCTACAGTTTTCAAAGAGATTATCTTTTATGTTTACCATTGAAGCAATAAGTATTGCAACATTCCGGTTTTACCCTGGAAATATAAAAGAGTTCCTAGTGAAAATTGTGTAAGCTCAACTGCTTTCAGTGTTGGGCAACTGATTGATATCAAAAGTCTGGGGTTTCTAATTTGTACGCTTATTCCTATTTTCAAAGGGCCATTCAGCAGGAAAGGTGAACATTGGTGAACATCCAGTTTGTCCAAGGAGAGTCTCATGATTCTTATTGTCAACCATAAACCATTCGTGACACTATCCTCCAAGATGACATCTCCAGAAATTTTAACTAATTCGAAATATGGGATGACCTGGCTACATGATTACAACACAGTGATGTTAAAACGTTGTGTACAGGTTCCAAGTTTATTTCTAGTTGCAAGTCAATACCGACTTTCAGGGAAAAAGCCACAAATGGCCGGGAGACCTAAAGGAGAATCTAGAAGAATTCTACCTTCAAATGTTAGATTAATGACAGCTAGGAGAAAGCCCCTTCCTTTAAAATTCTATTTATAAAAGGTGATATTGTACTACTTTGACTTGAACAAATCTCTTGCTCGAGGTTGATTCATGAATTGGGAAAAGCAAAACAGGAGCTGTCCAACAAATCACCTCTTTATCTAACATACTAGCTGGATCCCCCGTGCTTCACAACGAAACTATGTGATCGGGCTTGATAAATGGACACTTACAGCTTGAAAATTAATGAGTAGTTATGATCGGCCTCTCCTCTCCCTTTCTCTCCCTCAGCCTTGCTCCACAGAAACATCTCCTATCCTATCCCCTTCTCTCCCTCAGGCCTGCCCCACAGAAGCCTGTCCTATGCTATCCCATTCTCTCCAGAGTTATTTTCAAGTTGGGAGGGGGAGTAGAATAGCTAACTAATTAGCATCAGAGCATGTTATAATAATATAGGAAATACGAATGCTCTGATGGCCATTTCGAAAAATCCTTTCTTAGTGAGCACCTAGAAGCCAAGAGGAACATACGTGACAAATTTCAAGTTTGTAGGCTTGAAGATTTCGTGATTACAGCGTGAGTGGTTTTCGCTTATATAGAGAGAGATTTCTGGATTCCTGGAAGGTTAAAAGAATGGGGCAGAAATCCTAGTTATGAAAGCTCTCTTCCCCTACACGGAACATGCAAAACAGCCCAAGTTGGGCATATGATTTTTTTCCCACCTAATGTGTGAAAGACACAGTTCAAGCTCCAAAGTGCTTTTGTTTTGGAAGATGTGAATGAAATCAGTTTGGTTTTGAACTCAAACCCAGCAAGCATCCTAAAAAGCACAGGCCCTTTCAGAGAGAGGATTTCTGCTGTAAATCAAAGACATGAGATCGTTATTCAGAAGAGCACATGTGCCTAGACACATTATTACTAATTCTGCTCATCATCTCCTTTCCTGTTTCACACATTACAGTGACAATATTAGAGCAGTTTAGACAGAAGCAGGAACACGTTGTGGTGCCAAGCTCTTTCCATAGTTTTTTTTTTTCTTTTTGCCAGTGTGAGAGGAATTTTCTCAAATCGAATGAACCTGTGGGCGCTTTATAATTATAAATTCAACCTCTCAGGTGATAATATTAGCAATGGGACCAAAAGACCTGTATAAAATGGATGTGCTAACCTTTGTCCCCACTCTCTTTTAAGAGGGACAGTGCGTGACAGAGCAAAGTCTGAGCCATCTGAGTGCAAGTTCCAGTTTCTGAATGAATGAATGAGACTTCTGTGGCACTTTGGTTCTCAAATGCTTAAGTCCATAGGCAAATGAGGTACCCACTAATCGTCAAATCATGCTTATAAAGCACATGCTAAGAATTCTTCCTTCCTCCAGGCTGAGGATTTCAAAATGCATAAACTACTTCTGTACATACTGTAACTGGTAGGATTCTGGTCCTACCCTTGGAAATTAAGCCATTACAATTTACCACTTAGCCTTAGAAAGAGGCACAACAAAACAATATTTTCATGTCTATAACTTTCTTCCCTTTTCATCTCTTATACTTAGAGATGCAAACTTTCCTGCAAGGCATCTCAAATCTTTATTCACCTGTTACCAGCTCAAGTCTTTTTACTTTTTTTTAAAGTAATCTCCTACTTACTCCACAATCTGGAATAATTCAAATTGTTGTATTAATACAGGCATTCAAAAAACAGAAGCACCTATCACAAGTCCTAAATAAAAGACCTGACATGCTCTTTGTTATATTAACATAAATACCCAGGAAATTATGGTCTACACTGAGGTTAATTTCACTGTCAAAACATTGTTGATTAAGAGAACTCTGTTTTGTGGTGACTTTATAAGGCTCCATTAGAGAAGGCTTACATTCTTTCCACTAAAACAGTTAAACCTTTATTTCAAACCACAGTGGAATCTTAAATTAAAAATATTATTATTTAAGGCTTAGCCAGAGCACAAGAAAGAAGAGGTGGTCACACACGAGAGGCAGTCTTGAACACTCTCTCTGTTAAACGTCAAACAGCTAAGATAGATCAAGGAGGAACTACTGTACAGAAATTTCTAGTAAAATATCCTTAATGCTAATCTGGGATAAATAAGAAAATTTCCCCAGCGCCATTTATGGCAAGTAAATTAAAGTGAGCATTTACAGTAAACGAATAGAAGTCTTGTTGATTTGAAAAACATCTTCCCGGATTTTTTTTCATCTGGACGAAGCTAGCATGGATGAGATAAGCTGTCAACTAGCTCACCCGTTATCTCTCGATTGTTTATGCCTCCCCTCTCTTCCATCTGTTTCCCAGCTGCCCCACAATCTCTACCTCTTGCAAGAGATGTAAAATAAACAGCCGGCTAATATCCAAATTCTACAGACACTGTACAGTGCAGGAGAAAAAAAATGAAATTGTCCAAAGTTCAACGCCTGGCATCTTAAATATGAAGGATCCATAAAATTTACCGTACTTTTCGGACTATAAGACACACTTTTCCCCTCTAAAAGAAGGTGGAAATGTTGGTGTGTCTTATACACCGAATACAGCCATTTTTGGCCTCCTGAAACCCCGCCCCGCATGTCCCGTTTTCGCCAAAACAGGCCCGTTTTTCACAAAAATGGGACGCGCAGAGGGTTTGGGAGGCCTGCAGAGTGCTCCTGGGGGCTGGGGAGGGCAAAAACTTTTTTTTCTTGTTTACCTCTTCGAAATCTTTGCCTTATATTCCGGTGCATCTTATAGTCTGAAAAATATGATAAGTCTTTGAATCAGAACCTGGGGAACTACTACCGGTTTGTATAAACACCACTATGCTAAATAGACTTATTCTTCCTGCCTGCTCAGAACTATCTTTCCAATGGCAAAAAAAGCAGACGAGACAAGGGACATCTGTGCTTAGCCCTATAATACATCATGGGAATTCTTCTTTTCCGAAAGAGGCCCAGCCCTCAATAAACACAGTTGCTAACAGCATCACAACAATGTGTTCCTGCTTCTTTGTTCAAAGTTTTTCTGCTATGAAAGTTCTGCCCCAGATTTGGTTCTGTGTCCAATGAAGAGTTCAGGCTGGTGAAGGGTTAGAGGGAGATTTTTCTGGAAGGCAGGAACAACACAGCTCCTCAGAGACCCCTCTTCTTTCAGCCAATGATGAAAGCCAAATGGCGCTGACTCCCTTGGAATCCAAGGGAGCTGAACGGATTGTTCCATCTCAGTAACAGGACCTCCGTCTCGCACTCATTTGGTTATTGATCTGCCACAAGCCTTTCAGATAAGAGATTGTAATTAATTTATTTCCTCTCATTTCATGTTGATGCAGACGTCTCTGTCACAGATACACATGCTTAGAGGCATACGTGTGAAATCGGCCGATGTACACAAATATGAGATCTTATCCCTTCCTGCATGTAATCTTGGAGGTAAATTACAGCCTTCAAGACTAGAACTTAGCTGGGTCAGTCTCTGAGCTTGTTTTTTTTTCCCCCCTGAGATGTTTCACTACCCAGCTGGTAACATCATCAGGGCTAGAAAGGACTGGGGTTTGCTCTCTGTTTATATACAAGTGCCAATAGAAGGGGATAATTGTAGCTCAGGGCTGAACTATGAGATCTTTGATCCTCTCTGAGCTTGGTTGTTTTCTTGCAAATATTTCATGACCCAACTAGATAACATCATCAGTCCTAAAAGAGAGTCCAGTTTGCTCTCTGTTTATCTACAAGTAGATTACCCTGTCAATAGTGGTAAAGTGTTGTTTTCTTCCTAGGGGATCCTTGATTAGGCTGTTTACTGTTTGCCTGACTTTGTAGTTCCTTGATTGGAAAATTGTTTTCTGCTTAATTGATCTCCCAATCAGAGAGCACCAGGGACCCCTCAGTTCAACCCTGAGCCACAAAAATCCTCTATTAACTAAACCTATGTTTGTTGAGGCCCTCTGGAAAGTCAGTAAGTCGGGGCAATGACAGGATAGGGGGAGAAATGATGTTCCAAGAGGTGCCAGGGGGAAAAGGCTCTCTTCCAGAGTCCTATCAAACAAAGCTCCTTAGCAGGTAGGGTCCTGTTGGGATGGGGAGACGGAACCAGGGAAAGGCAGCGCCTCAAATTATCCCAAAGGTGCTTTTCAAAAGGCAACTGGACTTTTGACCCTTTCAAGGGTTTTTTCCCCTTGAAAATATTTCAGAGTACAAATAATTCTTCTGTTCCCCACTATTCAGTCAGACCCGAAGAAGTTTCTTGGATGAGAAGTGAGATTCTTTTCATCTGGACAAAGCTGGCATTCACTGATGAGATTAACTCCCAACTGGCTCCCATTATCTCTCGATTGTTTATGCCTCCTCTCTTCCCTTCAACTCCCAGCTGCCCCACAATCTCTATCTCATGCGAGAGGTGTAAAATACACAGTCAACAGATGGTTCTTCAAAGAAAGATGAAAAAAAGCACCTTTGGGACAACCAATGACCTAGATGACTGAGAATCTCCATAAAGTCTTTGACTCAGAACCTAGAGAACCACAGGTACTCAATTGTATGACCACAATTGAGCCCCAAATTTCTGTTGCTAAGCAAAACATTTACTAAACGGGTTTTGCCCCATTGCGAGATCTTTCTTGACACAGTTGTTAAGCGAAGCATGGCAAGTGTTAAGTTAGGAACACGGTTGTTAAGTGAACCTGATTTCCCAGTTGGCTTTGCTTGTCTAAGAAAATGTTCGTGTGACCCCGGGACACTGCGACCCGTCATAAATATGAACCAATTTGCCAAGCATCCTAATTTTGATTACCGTATGTGCAGGTGGCTAGATTGGTTGGAAATATGCAATTAATCCACCATAGCGATTTTACACAACTAACGTAGCAAAACCCTTTTGCGTTACTATTTTTGCATTTTAGTATTTAATGACCACGGGCCTCTATGGATCAATATTATAGTATAGTTAGGCTACCTGTCACTGACAAGGATGGATATTCTGATTTTAATATGGATTTTTAATCTGTTATTTATTATTTCATCTAGAAATTTTTAACTGGATATTCATTGAGAGTATTTATATGTTCTGGTCTCTGGTCTTTTGACTGTAATAAACTCTATTTGATTATGTGACCATGGGGATGCTGCAACAGTCACAAGTGTGACAGACGGTCAGCCAGGTTGACTCAGCCTTCCGTCCTGCCGAGGTGGGTAAAATGAGGACCAAGATTGTTGGGGGGCAATAGGCTGACTCTCTTAGAGAGAGCACTGTGAAGGGGTATATAAGTCTAAGTGCTATTGCTATCTTCCTTCCTTCCTTCCCCTCCTCCCTCCCTTCCTTCATGGTACAATGGTTAGAATGCAGTATGGCAGGCTCTGCCCACTGCCAGCAGTTCGATTCTTATCGGTTCAAGGTTGACTCAGCCTTCCATCCTTCCAAGGTGGATAAAATGAGGACCCAGGTGATTGGGGGCAATGTGCTGACTCTGTAAACCACTTCGAGAGGGCAGTAAAGCAGTACATAAGTCTAAGTGCTATTGCAGGCTAACTCTGCTCACTGCCAGGGGTTCGATCCTGACCTGCTCAAGGTTGACTCAGCCTTCCATCCTTCCGAGGTGGGTAAAATGAGGACCCAGATTGCTGGGGGCAAGAGGCTGACTCTGTAAACCGCTTAGAGAGGGCTGTAAAGCACTATGTAAGTCTAAGGGCTTCCTTCCTTCCTTCCTTCCTCGCTCCCTCTCTCCTTCCTTCCTTCCTTGTGCAGTGGTTAAAATGCTTGACTCAGCCTTCCATCCTTCCGGGGTGGGTAAAATGAGGACCCAGATTGCTGGGGGCAAGAGGCTGACTCTGTAAACCACTTAGAGAGGGCTGTAAAGCACTATGTAAGTCTAAGGCCTGCCTGCCTTCCTTCCTTTTCCCTCCCTCCCTCCCTTCCTTCCTTCCTTGTGCAGTGGTTAAACGCTTGACTCAGCCTTCCATCCTTCCGAGGTGGGTAAAATGAGGACCCAGATGGTTGGGGGCCATAGACTGACTCTGTAAACCGCTTAGAGAGGGCTGTGAAGCGGCATATAAGTGTAAATGCTATCCTGCTATATCCTGCGCCGCTTGTAACTGTGCGGTCACTAAACGAGCCGTTGCAAGTCGAGGACTAGCTGTAACTAGGCGGGACAACCCTGACCTGGATGCTTTTTAGAGCCCCTCCACAGGCATCTCCTCCTCCTCCTCCCCACCCTCTTTCTCGGGCTCGCCCTCAGGGAACAGACACCCCGAGGATGCGCTCCCCACCCACCTCCCGGCTTTACCTTGGCGCTGCGCACTTGCTCCCGTTCGCCCAGCAGGCTGAGCCAGATCCTACGCCCGCCGGTGGCCGAGGGAACCCAGCCGCCGCCGCCGCCGCTGCTCGCCGCCTCCACGAAGGCCAGGCGCACCCCGAAGAGCCGCTCGAGGCAGCCGCGGCTCCGCTCCAGGAAGCCGCTCTTCTCCGCCGGCGCCGTGAACTCATCCAGCACCGTCTGGTTGTCGTCGCCGTTGTTGCCGCCGCCGAGGCGATTTCGCTCCTCCGACGGCGCGGCTGAGGAGGGGCGGAAGGCGGCCATTAGCGAGGCGCCCCGCGGCCCGCGCAGCCAGAGCGACTCAAGCGGCGGGGGAAAGAAGGCGAAGAGGAGGAGGAAGAGGAGGAGGAGGAGAACCGACGGGGGCGGCCGCCGCTGCCCCTTCCCATCGCTTCGGGCCCGCCAAGCGCCGCCACAGCCCGGGAAAGTCCCCTGCGCCGTCGCCGTCGTCTCCCTCACCCCGGAAGCGCCTAGGCCTCATCGCTATGCAACCGTGACGTCACCATGAAGCGCCGACGCGACACACAGGGAGGGCGGGGCCGGCTGGCGTCGTCACCGCCCCCACGCAAGCCGCGCCCTCTTCCTCCTTGCGTCGGTCTCTGCCCGCCTGGCAAAGAACTACAGGCCGGGCATGTTGAGTGAGGGCAAGGGCGGTGGGCGGGGCTTTTACCAGACCGTTTTGTCCCTCTGTTGGGTGCGTTGTTGGTTTCTTTCCCCCCCCCCCCACTTTCGCTGTTTGCTTTGTGGTGATAGGGTTGGAGTTATATTCTTGGAGGGGGGGGGGTGGAAATTGAGGTTTATATGAAAGGATCTATATATTCTGCTTGAGCAGGGGGCTGGACTAGAAGACCTCCAAGGTCCCTTCCAGATCCTATCCTATCCTATCCTATCCTATTCCATTCCATTCCATTCCATTCTTCATTTCAATACATTCTATTCTCTACTCTATTCTATATTCCATCCCAATCTATTATTCTATTCTATTCTATTCTATTCTATTCTATTCTATTCTATTCTATTCTATTCTATTCCATTCCATTCCATTCCATTCCATTCCATCCCATCCCATCCCATCCCATCCCATCCCAATCTATTCTATTCTTCATTCATAGAAGAATACATTCTATTCTATTCTATTCTATTCTATTCTATTCTATTCTATTCTATTCTATTCTATTCTATTCTATTCTATTCTATTCCATTCCATTCCATTCCATTCCATTCCATTCCATTCCATTCCATCCCATCCCATCCCATCCCATCCCAATCTATTCTATTCTTCATTCATAGAAGAATACATTCTATTCTATTCTATTCTATTCTATTCTATTCTATTCTATTCTATTCTATTCTATTCCATTCCATTCCATTCCATTCCATTCCATCCCATCCCATCCCATCCCATCCCATCCCATCCCATCCCATCCCATCCCATCCCAATCTATTCTATTCTTCATTCATAGAAGAATACATTCTATTCTATTCTATTCTATTCTATTCTATTCTATTCTATTCTATTCTATTCTATTCTATTCTATTCTATTCAATTCTATTCCATTCCATTCCATTCCATTCCATTCCATCCATCCCATCCCATCCCATCCCATCCCAATCTATTCTATTCTTCATTCATAGAAGAATACATTCTATTCTATTCTATTCTATTCTATTCTATTCTATTCTATTCTATTCTATTCCATTCCATTCCATTCCATTCCATTCCATCCCATTCCATCCCATCCCATCCCATCCCATCCCATCCCATCCCAATCTATTCTATTCTTCATTCATAGAAGAATACATTCTATTCTATTCTATTCTATTCTATTCTATTCTATTCTATTCTATTCTATTCTATTCTATTCAATTCTATTCCATTCCATTCCATTCCATTCCATCCCATCCCATCCCATCCCATCCCATCCCAATCTATTCTATTCTTCATTCATAGAAGAATACATTCTATTCTATTCTATTCTATTCTATTCTATTCTATTCTATTCTATTCCATTCCATTCCATTCCATTCCATTCCATCCCATCCCATCCCATCCCATCCCATCCCATCCCAATCTATTCTATTCTTCATTCATAGAAGAATACATTCTATTCTATTCTATTCCTATTCCTATTCTTCATTTTACTTTGAAACTATCACAACCCAAGGAGCAGTGCTGCCTCTCTGTATCTGTACAGGTAGTCCCCGACTTACAACAGTTCGGTTCATTTAGTGACCGTTCAGCGCTGAAAAAGGTGACCTAGGACCATTTTTCAAAACTGCTTAAAACCGTCGCAGCAACCCCCCACCCCCCAACGTCACACGATCAAAATTCAGATGCTTGGCAACTGACTCATATTTATGATGGTTGCGGTGGGGATAGTGATCCCCCTTTTGTGACTTCTGGCAAGCAAAGCCAGATTCACTTAACAATGTGGCCATTGGGTCACATTTGCAACCATCACAGGTCTGCAATGCAAAGGAAAAGCTGCAGGAAGATCATAATTATAACATCATCATCATGATATCACTTAGGGTGGCCAGTCCCAGTTATGGTCCCTTAAAGAAAGACTACTAGGATCTGCTATTGTTCTTAGTCAAATGCCATTGAGGCTTGTTATTTATTTATTTTATTTATTTATTTGTAATTTCGATTGTTTTAAGTCAAGCAAGGATTCTCTACAATTAAAATGTCCACTGCAATTTACTTTAAAACAAAAGAGAGCAGAAAAAGCACAATAGCAAGGCATAGCAGCATCTTCCAATGTACTATGGAAAATTCTGTGTATTAAGGAAGGAATTTCTTGAAGGAATTTCAAGAAGGAGGTTGGTCTAAATAAAGGGCTGATACTTTTCATCCAGAAAAACAACGTATTTTGAACTTGGCCATCTCATCTACGTGGTGAAGTTCCAAATGGCTTCTCCCTGAAAAAATTGTGTAGCTCTTTCTGTTTCCTACTCCATTTCTGTAGATGCTGAATTCCTTGACTTCTTAACAGTTCCATCAGATAAAAGCAAAGAATTGGAGTCAACTACGTTGACATGTCCTTGGCGTGTTCTTGTCAACAGAATGAAACTGATGTACAGATGAAAAGATAATACAGGATGTGGATACCAGCTTCTCTTCGTAATTCATTTTCTCTGTACTTTCACTGCTGCTGCTGACTTCCTTGACAGGCTAATCTCGAGTCTGTTGCTGCCATCAACTGTTAATATGGAGCCAGTGCAGCTCCCAGCCATAAAATGAATGCCAATCTGACGTACTTTTAGCATTGTGAAAAGCGGAAGCTACAAGTTCAATCAATCAATCAATCAGAATAGAGTAGGAAGGGGCCTTCAAGGTCTTCTAGTAGGAGATCCTATACCATTTTATAGGATCTCCTATACAAGTAAACTTTCTTCTTAAAAACCTCCAGTGATGGAGCTCCCACATCTTTTGGAGGCAAGCTGTTCCACTGGTTAATTGTTCTCACTGTTAGGAAATTTCTCCTTAATTCCAGGTTGCTTTTCTCCTTGGTTAGTTTCCATCCATTGTTTCTTATCTTACCTTCTGGTGCTTTGGATAAATACGTTGACCATTCCTGCATGGGTCAAACAAAATTGTGAAAGCTCACGAAGAAAGCATATAGGTGGTAAGAGAAGGTATTTTATGCCTTGTAGGACACCAATTACTATTAGAACTTTAACACACATAGAGAGAGGACTAACGTAAAATACAAACCTCGATGGAAGGATCATGACTTAATAGGCTCCCCTGGGAGATGTGTGTTCAGAAATGATATCAATCAGCCCAGTATGGGGGGCATCCCAAAGAAATGGATGAAGGAGCAGTGAAGAAGATGAGATGAGAATGGTACAGCTAGAATAGACCTGTATACTGCACGAGTCAAAAAGAGGGCTGTGAAAATATTTACAGACCCCTCACATTCTGGACATAAACTGTTTCAATTCCTACCCTCAAAACGACGCTATAGAGCACTACACACCAGAACAACTAGACACAAGGACAGTTTTTCCCTGAACACCATCACTCTGCTTAACAAATAATTCCCTCAACACTCAAATTAGTTACTAAGTCTGCACTACTATTAATCTCATCATTCCCATCACCCTTCTCCTTCCACTTATGACTATATGATTGTAACCTGTAAGCCTCCCGCCGCCGCTACCAGTTCACCCGATCCTGGGCGAACCGGTAGCAACCCACCACTGGTGTGGGCGTGGCCAGCTTGACACCACTCCCCCAACTGCTGGCATGTTTCCTTTTGCATTGGGTAGACCGGGTTGAAGCTACGCTGTCCTGATCTTTCCTCTTTGCATTGGGTAGATCAGGACAGCCCCGTGGGCTGGATCCAATCACATCGCGGGCTGTATGCGGCCCATGGGCCTTGAGTTTGACCCCTGACCTAGACTCTCTAAGCCAGGGGTGTCAAGCTCGATTTCATTGAGGGCCGCATCAGAGTTGTGTTTGACCTCGGTGGATGTGGCCAGCTCGACATCACTTATGTTGGGGGCGCCTGTGGCGGCCTGAGTATTCTGCCAGCGAAAATGGGCTCCCGAGCTCCATTTTCGGTTGCGACGGCCTCCTACAACCCTCTGCCAGCGAAAACAGAGCCCAGGAGGACCACGGGCATCTCTCCTGAGATCCGTTTTCGCTGGCAGAGGTGCCATGAGTCAGTCCTTCGCTGTTTCCAGGTCGGCCCCGCAGGCCAGATCTAAGCACCCCGCAGGCTGGATCTGGCCCCCAGACCTTTGAGTTTGACCCCCCCTGCTCTAAACATTACAAGGCATTGGTGGCAACGGTGTTTACTTAAGCACAACTGAGAAAGCTTTCTGCCGGATTGGGTTGCCAGGATATGCTCAGTCTTCCCAGTTCTGCCAGTTTGGATGCAGCTTGAGAATTGCTGTCAAAACAGTTCCCTGATTTTGCCTTGGGATATTCTAACCCGGTTGCTAAGAGCTTGGGGTGGTGGTGGAAATTATGAATATTTAAAAGGAGAGAGCAGCCAAATATTTCCCCCACCCACCCCCCGGTTATAGTCTCGGTGGCCTCAGAGGCTGGGTGTTAGCAATTTTAATTAATGGACGGCACATCTGGTTTTAGAGAATGGTGCTTGGAGCACTTTTCGAATGCGCCTTAATTAGGTATTAAAACCTGCAGGTGTTCTGGCATCCGCTGACTTGGCTGCTCAGAGTTCACACCGGGAGGTTTGTATGGGGAGGTGTAAGAAGCCTCTGCATTTCGGCATATGGTGTGTCGCGCTAAGGTTCTGCCTCGTTTTAGCTTTGCGTTTTCAGGCACAACTGGTCAGCCAAGAGAAAAAGGCCAGGTAGACCAGGAAACCAGGTTTTCATTGGGAACCTCTGGTTCACAAACCGATATGAATGGCATCTTCAGGACGCAGATGGTTTTGTGCAATTGTGGTACACTTCCCAGCATTGCTGAAACAACAGAACAACAGAGTTGGAAGGGACCTTAGAGG